CAAAGAAAATTCTTTTTTAAAAAATGATTTCACATTAGGGTCATATGCTAAATGAATCAAATATCAAGGGAGATGCTGCAAATAGCAATGCAGAATCCACTTAAAACTTAACCTTTGTCTGCCTTCAAGTGCAATTTGCTCTGCAAAACAAGAACAGAAGTCAGAGGCCCCAAAGTGCTTCAGGACACAATGAGAGCTAGTGTTGACACAATCCATTTCTTGATAACTATGGAATCCTGGATTAGGACACCCTCCAACAAAGAACTGCGGTGTGCAGGTAGCAGACCCAGCCAACTAATCCAGACAAGCAGCCTGAGGAGAGGGGGTGCTGCAATTAACCAGGAGCTACAAATAAACTCTCAGCACAGAGAGAAAAAAAAAAAAAAAAAACTTCCCACAAGCCTCCAAGACCACTGTGCTTTCCAGCACTTGGAGATAAAACCCTATCAGGGAGGTCATCTTCAAATACAAGCTGCTAACAATGAGTACCTTTCTCTCCGGCTGGGAGAACCACAAAAGGCCTTTCAGCAGGAACTCAGCTGGTACAAATGGCTGTGTTATCACATTTCCCTGCTTTCCTTTGGAGGCAGGCAAAGAAGGCAAGCTTCCACAGTCAATGGCTGGGTGTCCTGACTTAGGCTATCGTTGACTTATGAAATCAAGTGTGACAAAGCATAGAAAGCCCTGTACACTTCTCATTTTAACAAACATTCAAAGTGTAAGGTACCCTGCTAAGGGATGCTAGAGACTGGAAAACAAAATCAAACAAAAGGGAGTCCGTGTTGATCGAACTGCCTGCTTGCTGTTGTTTATTTATTTTATTATTTATTATTTATTTTCTGGGCATGGAGTCATCTGGGCTGGGAGAGTTCCAGTGTAGAGTACTTTGTACAGTCAGTGCTTGCTCCTTGAATGACATACGTGCCATGCACAATATTTCTGATGATGATGTTAATTGGTGCTGAATGTGACTTATTTACAATTCTCAAGAATTATACATGTGTTACGGATGTCTGAGGTTCCAAGACCCTAACTTGCATGTTAAAGATTAAAAGAGACATATTTCACCACTGGGTAATCCAATAAGTTGACATTAACTGATTATTTTTAAATACGGTAGTCATGGAATTTGAGAGGAAGTGTTAGTAAGAGAGATTTTTTTTTAAGATTATAGAAATTTTTTGAGAGAAAGAATGTTAGTACGTGAAAATTCAGAAAGGACCTTTCTCTGTGTCACACATTTCCCTTTGAAATAATCTTGCCCATCAGGGGCTGACCTGAAGCAATCCAGCCCTAAATATTGCTAGAATACCGCAATATCCATGATGACGATGTCCCTGTGCTAAGCTTCTATCCTGTTCTCCAGCAAAGTCCCCTTCCAGCAGAAGAATCTCTTGACAATACAGTTCCATTTTCTGGACAAGCTTGCTCAGCTTTTGAGTTGTCTTTAACAAACTTTCTGGGTTCTTGTTCCTACAGACTTTGTGTTATTTTATTTACTATTGGTTTTGCATGTGTGTGTGTGTGTGTGTGTGTGTGTGTACATATGTTTGCATGTATGTAGGTGAGATGAACATGCAGGTGTGTGTGTGAGTTTGAGAGTGTCTATATTTGAGTGTGTATGTGTGTACATATGTGAGCATGTGTGTGTGAGTGTATTGTTTGAGTGAGAGTGTGTGTGAGTGTATATGTTTGAGAGTGTGTATGTATATGAGTTTGTGTGTGTGTGTGTGTGTGTGTGTGTGTGTGTGTGTGTAAGGGGGGGGGGAAGAGAGAGAGAGGGGGGGGAGAGATTACATGGAGGACCAAGATTGATGCCCTTGATTGCTCTCCATCATATTTGTTGAGGCAGTTTTTGAAGTGAACTCAGAGTTCACAGATTGGGGTAGTCTATCTATACAGTTTGTTCTTGATATTCCTTGTTTCTACTTTCTAAGTTTTGAAGTTACAGATGGCTGCTGTGCACCTTTATGTGAGTGCTTGTGTTTCAAATTCTGGTTTATACACTTGCATGGCAAATGTTTTTCCTGCTGAAACATCCCCCCAGCCATCTGTGTTACTCTTTTAGTACCAAGTCATCCTCTTCGGTGACACTCCTTCCATTTGTTGCTGGTTTAATGTCACTGTTTTCTCACCATACAATGCTATTGAACGAGGAGTTAGTATCTGGACTCGTTTTCAAAGCTCATACCGGGCATGCATGGTGTTATCAAACACATCTCCTTTTGCTACTGTCTTTTCATACTTGAAGATAATGCTTTTGTTTTGAGAACTTAAATGTATTTCTAGACACTTTCAAAGCTCACTGTCCTTCAGCATTATTCTTGTAATGAAAAGGGCATTAAATAGCCCCTCCTAAGAAAGAGTACATTCTTCATTCTAATGAACCTATGCAAAAACTCTTGGTTTAGCCTTTGCTAACCTCCTAACACAGAAAACCTGAACCCAATAAGGGATGGCTATGTGGTTGGTGTTATACGTGACCTTCTCTGGGGTTAGTGAAGATTCTATGCTATACTGGTTTCCCTGTCATTGTAAAACACTGCAGTTTTAAAAGTCTTAGACTCCCAATCCCTGATTTTCTCAGACTCATTCCTCTACCTATGAAACCAACAATCAGATACCATTTTGCCAAATGAATAGTTCTAGAGACTGCTGTGTTTATTTAGAACTCTGCTGGTGGTACAGCTGGAGAAAACAGAGAAAAGAGTTTGTATTGCTTCATAGAAAACTGGTTATTTCCTAACCAGTTAGACCAAGTGACTCTCATAAGTGACTTCTGTCCAAACACAGTAGAGATCTTCATGCTAACATTACTATTCTTCCAACTTCCTTAGAACTAAAATGAGTGACTCCTTCTCCAAGGAAGCATGCTTGGGTTTTTTTTTTTTCATAAATTTGATGAATAGTTTATAGTGATTTGAATGGGAATGGCCCCCATAGGCTCATATGTTTGAATACTTGGCCTCAAGTTGATGGAACTGTTTAGGAAGGATTAGAAAGTACAGTCTTGTTGAAGGAGGTGAGTCACTAGGGGTGGGCTTTGGGGCCTCAAGAGCCCATGCTATTCCTAGTTAGCATTGTCTTCTTTGTGCTTGTGGATCACGATGCAAGCTCTCAGCTACTCCTCTGGTGCCATGCCTGCCTACCTTCTACTATGCTCCCTACCATGATGGTCATAGACTAACACTCTGGAACCAGGAGCCCCACATTAAGTACTTTCTTTTATGAGTTGTCTTTGTAACAATGTTTTTCCATGCCAGTAGGAAAAGTAACTAAAGCAATTTATTTTTAAAAAGTCCTAGAAATGAAAATGTAGACAAGTAGGTGCTGGAACCTACTTGAAATCCCTTAGGGGCTCAATAAAGCAAGCTTTAAATAGACTCAGTAAAGGTCCCATTTCTTGCCTAATGTAGAACCCAGCACAGGCTTTCTACTCGTCAGCAGACAGTCATGCAAGGACAAGCACACCAAACCAACTGACGCTGAATTTGAGTCCCAGAATAGACACTTCTGGTTATCATATTATTTGTTTCAAATTGCATATGCATCTCTGAAAGTATTACTAAATAATGCATTTTACAGATACTGAACATGGGAAAACCTCATTAGATCATGCAGTTCTTTCCCTTTCTTTTTATATTCTGGTTCCCTGTGATTAGTGGGATTTGGTCATGACCAAACTGTTAACCCTCTGGAATCACTTAATTGTGTTACTAAGGGACAGGTAAGATGTGCCATAAATAAGTCTATAATTGCCCTTCTTGTAGAATTATTTCTATCCACTGTGTTAGAAATAAAGGTGACTCCATGTTGTTCCAATAATGTGCTATGAAGATTTTCTAGGAGCTGGAAGATGACTCAGTGGTTAAGAGCACTGGTTGTTCTTCCAGAGGACCCAGGTTCAATTCCCAGCACCCACATGGCTGCTTACAACTACAGTTCTAGGGGATCTGATATCTTCACACAGACATGAAAGTAGACAAAACATAAATGAACGTAAAATTAAATTAAATTAAAAACAACAATTTCCTTTTTTAAAAATAGAAGTCTTTCTAATCTGAGTCTTCAAGTTATAAATATCTGACACTCTTGCTTATTTTAAATCATAACAAAGTTCCTCTCCCATTCTTCCAAGACACCGCCTACTATTTACAAATAAATCAGCAAACATGAATGAATTATACACCAAAGTCCATTTTGACCAAACACACTTTATTTCCATGTGGCTAGGTTCCATGTTGTCTGGGAACACGAATACTCAATAGGAACAATTTGTTTAAACTTCCTTCCCAGCTCCTCACCAAAAGCAGAGGATAATATTATTACATGTGCATTCATACAAGGTGTATTAAAATCCTGAATACACTATTTACTATTAGTGAAATAGTGGTTTTACCCACCTTCTTTTGGCTTTGTATCTTCATTTGGGAAATTGTATTGATAACTGTTTGACCCCATGAGTATCCTTGTAAAACCTGGAAGAATTAAAGCAGTCAGACAATAAAATAAGTGTTCAAAAATAAATGTAAATTAAATGTAATATTAAAAATATTAAAAAAATTTTAAATGTAAATAAATGTAAAATTAAAATGATTAATTTTAATGTGTTGACTTAACTGGGCCACCAATTTGTAGTCAAAAAATAATTCTGGGTGTTTTTAGAGAAATATTTTGAACAAAATTAGCATCTAAGTAATAGACTGAGTTATATATATTGACCTTCCTTTGGTGTAAGAGAGAATTCTTGTTGACTAACTACCTTCACATTGGGACATTGGTTTTTCTAGTCTCTAGCCTGCCAAGCTTTCAACAGAACTATACCATCTGGTTTCCTGTTTCTCAAGCTGGCACTAAACCATCATCTCTCCTCAGTCTCCAGCTCGATGAGTCACTATGCAAACCTTAGGAATTCCTTCATAATCATGAATCAGTTGCTTATATGAATTGGGGAATGGGAGGGTGGGCATGCATGCTTGGTGAAAATAGAAGATCTCATACTTCATCCAGACCTACCAAGTCAAAATTTGTGGTCCAAAATCCTCTCACTAGCTTCTGAGTCTATAACCATCCTTGTTAGTAATAATATTATTATTCTTCCTAGCCACAGCTACTCTAGAGTTTGCTTTGAGGCACCCATGGTGCAGATGTGGTTATAAAGATTCTTGTTCTACTCCTCTTTCAAACATCTCTCTGCAGAATTTTAGCATTTCTCAAAAATATTTCAAAACACACTTCAGGAAGGAAGGGCACCTGATATATGCATCTCTATAGCTTTCTGAGGTATAATCACAATCTACATGTTCTGCAGCTCTTATAAGGATTTGCTTTTTCATTTGATAGAATAATTAATTTCCATTATTTTTTTGTTGTCTTGTTCTAATTCTTTGTGCAGCTTGGACAAATCACAGTTTCAGTGATACCACATCAACACCATTCACCATGAAGGAAGACAAGACAGAAGAGTGCATGAGCCTGTGGACAGAGAGGACCAGAGCAAAGCAGTGTCTTCTGGACATGGCAAGACTGCTACATCCTTGAACTTAGAGCAGCTGTGGTTGCCCAAACAAAATCAAGCCAGTCAACATTCTATTATAGAGTAAGAAGGAGCTCAGGAGACTCCACCCATGACTGAGAAGCTATCTGTGGACAGGTAATGGCTTCTAGGAAAGGAAGACTCAGATTTTTTTAAGGGTGTAGCTTCTGTTGGGTCAACTAGAGTTCCGTGGATGGCTCCACATACAGGACTTACATGGACAGCAAAAATTTGAAACAGTAGGTCATTACTTTCCAAAAGAGAGAAAAAGACATACATTTTCCTTTGGTTGGAAGATGAGGTAGATTGAGAGTAGTTAAGGGGAGAAGTTTAGATGAATATAATCAAAATGCATTGTATGAAAATCTTTTAAAAATCCCACATTTATATAAAAGAACCTCAATAAATTATCTAGTCTAATGTTGTGAGCAAGTTCCTTGATTCTCCTTCCTTCCAGTGATCTACCTTTTGAACAGTACACTGCTTGAGTATATTATTCTCAGACCATTTTAGGCCACTTCTAAATCCTAATAGGTTAAGGCATGGTTTTTGCTAAAAGGGTTATTAAATTCTTCATTTTTCTTGTAACACAAGCCTAGAATACTATTGTCATATACTACTACATATCATTGAGAAAAATTGAAATCATAATCTCTCCCAAAGTCTGGCTTTAGATCCTCAGCACTTCACAAAATATGAAACAGAATAAAGATGCACTTCAACCACATTTGAAAGAAAAAAACCACAGTCAGTATATTGTATAAATTAATGGAGTTGATAGCCACTTCTAAATCTAGGAAGTCATAGATTTCTATAGATTCTGACTATAGAATAAGTAGTTGAATGGATTAATAAAGCTAAGGGCATTTTTTAAGTTAAAGTTTTGAGGCTGGGGATGAAATACATCCTGAATTTGATCTCCACACTGTAAGCCTCTTCCCTCTAAAGATATCATTGTCTCCTTTTGAGTAATGGGTTTTTTTCATAGTAATATTTCAATGTTGTAATTATAGCTAAATAAACAAGTAAAAGAATCCAGATACTTATTCAAAAGATATGTCATAACATTGTTTCATATTTTTAAATTTTATAGTTGCATTCAATGAATTCCTGTGGAATTCTGTCAGTTTATTTCCTTTTGGTTTTAATTAAGAAACCCTACTGGAATTGTGGCCTAGCTTTATAAGCTAGAGAAGTGATCTTGTTTTCATCCGATTATATTTGATGCTAGTGTTTTTTTTTTTATTTAATAAAGTCTCAGTGATGTTATGGTGTCAATTGAAACGTTTTTTAAGAATGGAGGAAATGAAACCAAATATTTACTCAAAGTCATTTTGAATGTTGCAAAAGCATGTGTTTATTGAGAAAGCTGAATGTTCTCAAAGGGAAAAAAAAAGGTCCTCCAATTTCTGTTTTCACTGCCTATCAATTTGAGATTAAGGCCTTATGAAACTCCAAGTAAACAAAATAAGTATTCAGAAAAACATTCTTTTAATTGTGGTGGTGAGCAGAGGCAAGATGGAGAAGGATGCTCTTGGGATACATGCACTATTCAAGGAGACTTGAGAAGGGGCCACTAAGAATCTTCTTTGGATTTTCCAAGCATAAGATTATTGGTGGGTAGGGGTCAGTCTGTCTGCTCATCTTGTATCCCCAAACTTGAGAAACAAAGCAAACAGCAGAAGGAAGCCAGTAATAGAAGAAAGACTCTCAGGCAATGATGGCCATCCAGGCTCCCAACACTAACTTTATTCCTAAACAGTTCTTTGTGCAGTAAGTGTAACTCAGGACCCATCCTTTAAGAACATCTATCAACGCAAGCAACAGACTGGACCTTTTATTCTGCTTCCTCATGCCAAAGTCCACAACAAATGTTCTTTTCTTGGCCCTCATATTTTTGTCCTGCCTGAATGCCCACTTCCTCTGCTTATCACCTTTAACTCTTAATTTTTTTTTGTCCCTTTGGGCCACCAGTCCATAATAAAAAGCATCTTACTCTGCTAACTTTCCTGTTCTCTTTCAATTTCTTTGCTTTAACATAAACTTTCAATTTTTAGATTCTAGAGCTTAGGAAGTCTTGCAGACCTTACTCTCTTCTTTTATAAATGATTATAATAAAGTCCAGAGAAATTAACCATTCAACGTTACTTAATACATAGTAACACTGCTACTTGTGCTTGTAGCAACATGTGCCTCATGTCCATGCATGTCATTATTACTATACTGAGTTATACATGTCAGATTATATTAATCAAAACAATATAAAAATACAATAGAAATAAGTATGACAGTAATATGATGAAACTAAATCATTTCTTTTTATTGATCAAATTTTATGTTTCAACAATTGTTCTACATACTAGGAATTTAGCTGTGAATAAAGTAGAAAAATATTCTGGCATTCCTTAACTTTGCATTCATATGGTAGAAGATAGATACTAAATAGAAACATAAGTAAAATATATAGCCACCTTGGTGATGCTGAAATTTCAAAGTAAGGAAGGAAGACAGGAAATGTAGATAGCTCTGTCCTCTTGCTCAGTGAGACCCCACATGAAACCAAGGCTTTGGAAATGAAAAGGAACTGAATCAAAAAAGAGGCTAATTAGGGAAGGATTACCGAATAAAATGTTTCTGGAGATTCTTTTCTCTTGATATGACCATTATAAAGTTATGGTAGCCAGTCATATAACTAAAGGGGAGGTTTCCCTGATCACCTCCTTCATTACCTTAGCTACCTCTAAGAATCTCGCTTCTCGGAGAGGTGTGATTCACTCACTGATGGAGCAATAACTAGCAAAGTCCAGGGGTTTTATGTCTTCATTTTCAAGAACTGAGTTCCTTATTTGGAAATAAACAGTCAAGGGTGCATGTAAGAGGAAAATACAGAGCCAGAAAAGACCTACAGCTGCCAGGTCGCTGCTCAAACATCCACGGTACTGAATATTTTCACAGCAAAAGTCAACAGTGTGGAAAAATTTTATGGGATGGAATGGAGATAAGATTGGTACTGGAAATTTAGAAAACAAACAAACAAAAATTATTTGTTCAACTCAGTGATTTCGAAGAGTTCTTTGAAAGGGGGGACTTACTTCTATGGGACCTTAAACTTTGAGCAGCATGGGTATTAACCTGACTAATAAAAATGCTAGCGTGCATACTACTATTATCTGAAGCCTTCTGGAGTTTTGAGAAACACACACACACACACACACACACACACACACACACACACACACACACACACACACCCTTGCTGTCAGTCTCATGGAAAAAGCTGACTGTGTGGAACTGATAACATGCTGTCACCAATTCAGCATTTACAGACAGGAAAATGAGGAAAAGTTAAAAAAAAAAATTAAAAGCAACTTAGATGGTAATCACAAAACAAGGAGAAAAGTGTGTCAAGGAAGAGCTAGTAAGTGTGTTCCAGAGAGGAAGGATTGGTCAAGTTTCTCAAATTTTCTTTTACAGGTGAAATAATTTGAAAGAAGAAATGAAAGAAGTGAAATCAGTTATGTCTTCAAAAGCTATTCATAAATAATATTGAAAAAAAACCCAGAGAGGTAAGTCTCCAAAATACACTCTTAAAAGTGAAATCATCGCTAGCAGTGTCCATCAATTAGTTGGTGTACAGGTTACTATTTGGGTTTCCTTTGTTTCATAACTGGTAGATTACATTTCCTCAGCACCTGAACAGGTTTAAGTGGATCTGTTACAGGAATAGATTTTCTGCCTGATGCTAAAAACACTAAACCTCAGTCAGCAGGTGAACTGTACTTCAAGCAGCCTAAAGCTTGTTCTGGTAAGAAATGTCAACATTCAGGGACATATTGGATGCTCTGTCTCAGAATGAATTATATATTATATATTGTACATATGTATGTGTGAATTTATGTACATCTATGTCTTTCCCTGTGTACAAACTGTTTGTATAAGCAATTTTATCTTTTTATGGTGAGATCTGTTGTTAGAAACATGAATAAGAAAAGGATTAGATGAGAATAATTTTATTTAGTTATTTTTATATGCTGAAAGATTTAACATGTATTGTGATCAAATTGTGACATCACAAACAAAGGTTTTAATCATTTACAGTGATATATATTCTACTGTAGCTTTGAGCTTCCCCCTCTTTTATCAAAAACAGATTCCTTTCTCATAAATATATCCTGATTATAGTTTACCTTCCCTCTACTCCCAGTTCCTCCCCATCCTTCTCCCTTCCAGATCTATTCCTTATCTGTCTTTCATTAGAAAGGAACAGGTTTCTAAAACATAAAACAAAACATGATTTAAAAAATATAATGAGATGAAGCAAAAGGTATTATATTAAAATTGGACACAGCAACCCAACAGGAGGGAAAAAGTCCCAAGAGCAGGCACAGGAGTCAGAAGATAGGAATCTCATAAAGACATTCAGATAACAGCTATAATATATATGCAAAGGACTTGGTGCTGACACATGTAGACCCTGTGCTTGCTGCTTCAGTCTCTGTGAGTTTATATGCACCCTGCTTAGTTAATTCTGGTGTCCTCTATTACCTTTGGCTCTTACAATCTTTCTGCCTCCTCTTCCTCAGGATTCAGTGAGCTCTGAGGGGAGGGGTTTGACAGGGATCTCCCATTTAGACTCGCTTTCCATGTGATATCTGACTGTGAGTCTCTGCATCTGTTCCCATCTGCTGTAGGAGAAAGCCTCTCTGATGATGACTGGATAAAGCACTGATCTATGAGCAGAACAGAATATCATTAGGAGACATTTCTTTGATACTTTTTTTTTTGACTTGTGATGTTTAGTTCTACCCCAGGTCACTGAGCTACCCAGTCTGCAGCACCCTTTCCTGGAGTGGGCCTCAAGTTAAATCAGACATTGGTTGACTACTTTGGCAAGTTCTGCACCACCATTGCCTCATTATATTTTGCAGTCAGAAGAGATTATAGGTCAGAGGTTTTGTGACCAAGTTGGTGTCTACATTTCTCTTTTAGTAGCCTGTAGAGTACCTTCCCACACTAAAGAGACTAGAACACAGGGCATGTAGGCACCAACTTGACTTCTCTATGTTCAGTGTGTTATGTGGGTGTTATCTTTGGCAATGGTGATTCCTGCTCTTAGTTTTCAGAGAGCATCCCTTTGTCTTAGCAACAGCCTGGGTTGTTGAGGGATTTCCATTGGAGCTGTTTGGCCAGCAACTCAATTGAACACAAACCAGTCTCACTACTGGAAGCCATAGTAACAAGAGATGGCCAGTTGAGACTTCATAACCCCCATTTCTATGGGTCCTTCTTAGGTTTACCTTCACACTTACAAGAAGTTTTCATTGCACTGGGTTTCCATACCAACCCCCAAATGTCCCCAGTTCCAGCCATCTATCCCTCTACCTTATCACCCCACCTGATTCTCCAGTTCATGTCCCTACCCACCCCTAGTCTATACTTAAAATGTATTCTATTCCCATTTCCAGGGAGTTCCATTCACCTTCCTTAGAATCCTCTTTTTTTTTTTAAACCTAACTTCTCTGGTTCTATTGGTTGTAGTTTGGTTAATATCTACTTGTATGCTGATATCTACTTATAAGTGAATACATATTGTATTTATCTCCCTGGGTCTGGATTACCTCACTAAGGGTGATTTTTTTCTACTTCCATCCATTTGCCTGCAAATTTCATAATGTTATTTTTTAACAACTGAGTAATACTCCATTACATAAATGCAAGACATTTTCTTTACTCATTTTTCTATCAAGGGACATCTAGACTGTTTCTGCTTTCTGACTATTACGAAGAAAAACACAATGAACATGGTTGAGCAAGGGTCCTTGTGGTAGGATGGAGCACCCTTTGGGTATATGCCCAAGAGTGGTATAGCTGGAACTTGGGGTATATCAAACTCTCTGAGGATCCACTATATTTATTTCCATAGTGGCTGTAAAAGTTTAAACTCCCACTAGCAATTAAGGAGTGTTCCCCCTTGCTCCCACCAGCAATGAGGGAGTGTTCCCCTTGTTCCACAGCCTTTCCAGTCACTTGTATTATTGATCTTAACCATTCTGACAGATATAAGATGGAATCTCAAAGTAGTTTTAATTTCCATTTCCCTGATGGCTAAGGATGTTGAGTTTCCTCTATTGAGAATTCTCTGTTAACATTTGTATCTCATTTTTAATTGGATTAATTGGATTTTTGATATCTAGTTTCTTGAGTTCTTTATATATTTTAGATATTAGTCCTCCTTTGGATGTGGAGTTGATAAAAAAATCTTTTCTCATTCCATAGGATGCCACTTTGTTCTATTGATGGTGTCCTTTGCCTTGTGGAAATTTTCATTTTCATGAGGTCTCTATTATTGATTGTTGATCTTACTACCTGTGCTATCAGTGTTCTGTTCAGAAAGTCATCTCTTGTGCCAATGAGTTCATAGCATTTTGCCAATTTCTCTTCTGTCAGGTTTAGTGTATCTAGTATTATGTTGCATTATTTGATCCACTTAGATTTGAGTTTTGTGCAGAGTGATAAATATGAATTTATTTGAATTCCTCTACATGCAGACACCCAGTTTGACCAGCACTATTTTGTTGAAGGTGCTGTCTTTTTTCCAGCGTGTATTTCTGGCTTCTTTATCAAATATCAGATATCCGTAGATGTGTGTATTTATGTCTGGTTCTTCACTTCAATTTCATTGACCAATGTGTGTCTGTTTTTATACCAATACTATGTGTTTTTTAATGCTATCTCTATAGTACAACTTGAATTCAGGAATGATGATATCTCCAGCAGTTCTTTTATTGTTCAGAATGCTTTCAGCTATCTTAATTTTTTGTTTTTCCATTTAAAGCTGAGAACTCTCCTAAAATAAAAATGTGTTAAAGAGGCTTGTACTTCTAAGGGGATGGAGTAGATATAACAGTAGAGTAGCTGTGGCACCAGTTTCCAAGCAACAATACAATGGCAAAACCTTTGTGGTGTTTTAGATGTTCTTTGTTTCTGCCTCATTAAGAAGTTGGAGATTCAAAAACACCACTAGGCATGGCAGTGAGGACTCTGGCAGGATATAGTGAGTGACAGCATTCATGCCAGCCCCATGGTGGCAGAAGATGATGCCACAGACTTTCACCCCTGCTGGGTAGTAACAAGACTCCTTTTTTTTTTCCTAGTGTCAGTAAAGACCACAGAGATAACTTCCATTTTCACTTCCACCCCTCACTCCATAGGGGAGGCAGAGCCTGGAAAGTACTGTCATCTGAAACTGCATGGAAAGAACGGAAGTACATACACTAATTATAGACAAGATACTAAGTTGATGCACCCTGTGAGTCACCTACAAAACCAAGAGAGCTGATCAAACATCACGAAAACTCAGAAATTTAGAATCATGTCTTTGGAATACAGATTCTCAAATTACTTCAGTATAGTATTCTCATTTTCAAAGAGTCTTAAATGAAAAATGCTTTTAGCACTTAGCACTAATATTGCGATTTGGTTGACAGGAAACATAAGTGAAATAACCCCAAGCGAAGTTCTGGCAGTTCCCTGGGCTTTGTGATGAATGCAGGCACAAGGGTTTAGTTGTGTTAAAGAAATTGGTAGATGAGACTTGGTGGATTTACAGAAAGTTCTCACTACGTGTGTAGTAATAAGATAATAATAGTTCAGAGACCCTCTGAACATGGGACCACATTCAGTAACTTCATCTGAGTTTAGATGGTCTCCTAAGATTATCAACCCACTCTTCCTTAATAATTCCTCAAGCCAGAGACAACTTACCCTTCTACTCATCTCTGATTTGGAGTATTGACACCTCTTAAACAATTCATTCCTCCATAGCAGAACATATCTTCTTTCCTTCAAAGATGTAATGCCCACTTTAGGCAGTTATCCAAGCAGATACGGAAAGTCGTAACTATCTTCTGCCTCTGTCATCCTAAGGTAGAAGCAGGAGGTTTAAAATTGAGTTAATCAACTCTTTGTTTTAAAATCATAATTAAGATTGATACCATTTGTTTTAGTTAGTGTTACAATAGCTATGAAAAACACTGAGACCAAATGCAAATTATGGAAGAAAAGGATTATTAAGCTTATTCTTCTGTATCACTGTCCATCATTGGAAGAAGTCAGGATAAGAATACAACCAGGGCAAAAACATGGAGGCAGTAGCTAATGCAGAAGCCTGGGAGGAGTGCTGCTCACTGACTTGTTCATCATGGCTTGTTCAGCCTGCTTTCTTATAGATCCCAGGACCACCAGTCCAGTGGGAGCCCCACCCACAATGAGCTAGGCCCTCTCACATCAATCACTAGTTAATAAAATGCCCTACAGGCTTGCCTACAGCCCAGTCTTATAAAGGCATCTTCTTAATTGAGGTTCCATCCCTTCAGATAGCTTTAACTTGTGTCACGTTGACATAACAACTATACAGTAAACTATTTAATTCCATGTTTTAAAAGTGAAGGCATTTTTCTGTTGTTCTATTAAAATTAATTATAATAGAGGAGATCTCCTGGGTGGACTGGAGGTAGGTGGGCATGGGAACTTGAGAGATCGGTTTGAGGGTTGGTTAGGAGGGTGA